TTGCTTCCAAGTTTTGGCAATTATGAATAAAGCTGTTATATAAACATCTGTGTGCAGGCTTTTGTGTGGACATAAGCTTTCAGTTCCTTTGACCAAATACTAAGGAGTGTGATTGCTTGATCTTATGGTAAGAGTATCTTTAGTTTTTTTGTAAGTAATTGCCAAACTGTCTTTTAAAGTGGCTGCATCATTTTGTATTCCCACCAGCAATGAATGAGAGTTCCTGTTGCTCCATATCCTTGTCAGCATTTGATGTTGTCGGTGTTCTGGGGTTTGGCCATCTCATAAGTGTGTAGTGGTATCTCATTTTTGTTTTAATTTGCATTTCACTGAAGACATATGATATGGGGCATCTTTTCATGTACTTATTTTCCATCAGTATATCTCCTTTGGTGAAATGTCTGTTAAGGTCTTTGACAATTTTTAAATCAGGTTGTTTTTCTTATTGTTGACATTTAAGAGATCTTTGTATGTTTTGGATAACAGTCCTTTATCAGATGCATGTTTTTCAAATGTTTTTTCCCAGTGTATGGCTTATCTTATTCTTCTCTTGACATTGTCTTTCAGAGAGCAAAAGTTTTTAATTTCAGGACAGTCCAGTTTATCAAATATTTCTTTCACAGATTGTGCCTTTAGTGTTATATCTAAAAAGCTGTCACCATACCCAAGGTCATCTAGGTTTTCTCCTATGTATTCTCTAGGAGTTTTATAGTTTATGTTTTGCATTTAGCTCTGTGATTGCTTTTGAGTTAATTTTTATGAATGGTATAAAGTTTTTTTATTCATTTTTTTGCATTTGGATGTCCACTTGTGCCAGCACCATTTGTTGAAAATACTTTTCTTCTTTATGTTGATCATTTTGTAAGACCCCATTTATTATCCAGAGTAAAATAAAGGTGAAGTAGTAGTAATATAGAGATTGTAATTGTCATGAGAAGTCATGATTAAAAATAGAGCTTTTTCGGGGAGCCTGGGTGGCTCAGTTGGTTAAACATCTGCCTTTGGCTCAGGTCATGATCTTAGGGTCCTGGGATCGAGCCTCGAGTTGGGCTCCCTGCTCAGTGGGGAGCCTGCTTCTCCCTCTCCTTCTGCCCCTCCCCCACTCTCTCTCTCTCTCTCCCTCAAATAAATAAAATCTTTAAAAAAAATAAAAAGAGCTTTTTCTCTAAACTACATATGACAAAATCTTTTATTAATTTATTATTTTATTGAACTATAGTTGGTATACAATATTATATTAGTTTTGTGTGTACAACATAATGATTTGACATTTGTATATATTACAAATGATCACTATGACATATCTAGTTACTGTCAACAGCAAAATTATTATAATATTATTGATTAATATTTCCTATACTGTACTTTACATCTTTGTGACTGATTTGTTTTATAACCAGAAGTTTGTACCTCTTAATTCCCTTTCCCTATTTTGCCCATCCCCCTACCCCTCTCCTCTGGCAACCACCAGTTTATGAGTTTGTTTCTGTTTTGTTTTTTAGAGTACATACAAGTGAAATCATATGGTATTTGTTTTTCTCTGTCTGACTTATTTACTTAGCATAATACCCTCTAGGTCCATCCATATTGTCACAAGTGGCAAGGTTTCATTCTTTTTTTATGGCTGAGTAATATTTCATTATGTGGATTTGTATTATATATTTAAATATATTTATATTTTATATATGTGAATAATCTGTATCACAACACACCATACCACATCATCTTTATCCATTCATTATTGATGGACACTTAGGTTGCATCCTTATCTTGACTATTGTAAATAATGCTGCAGTGAACATAGGGATGTAGATATCTTTTCGTATTAGTGTTTTTGTTTTCTTTGGGTAAATACCCAGAAGTGGAATTACTAGATTGTCTGGTATTTCTATTTAAGTTTTTTTTTTTTTTAATTCTAACTTCCTATAATGGTTTAATCCTTCAGAAAATTTGTTTAGTATTTAATGAAGCTAAAACTAATTTATTCACATCCTTCATGTAACACAGTCTCTTTTTTTTTCCTGGTTGAGTAATACTCTTTAATATTTTTCTCCTAAGTCTATATTCTATTTGTTACTGACTACTGCACAGCCATATAACAGTCCTTCTAGTTTTGCCATTTAAAATGGACCAAAAATCGGTATCATTTCTTTTCCTGCTATAACAAATTGCCACAGACTTGGTAGCTTAAAACAACACCAATTTATTCTCCTATATTTCTGGAAATCAGATGTTGGAAATGAATCTATGGCCCTAAAAACAAGTTATTGATGATGCTAATTTCTTCTGGAGGCTCTTGGGGGAACCTACTTTTTCTGTTTTTCCAGCTTCTAGAGATTTTCCTCATGTCTTGGCTCTTGGCCCCACATCAAATGCCTTTCTTCCCTTTTTTTCTTGTCACATTGCCTTCTCTAACATCATCCCTTTTACTTTCCTCTTATCAGGTGCCTATGAATATTGCACTCACCTGGATCTTCTAAAATAACTTCCCCATTCCAGTGTCCTTAACTTCTAAAACTCCCTTTTGCTATGTAAGATAACATAGGCACAGATTCTGGGGAGAAGGATGTAGTCATCTGCTATACAGTTGAAGAGATAACAAAATGTATGTGTTTCACTCCTATTAATGTATTTCTTTGAATTTTGTTCAGCTGTTCAGTTAATATTTACTTTTTTGTAATTGTTGTTCCTTATTTGTCATTCCATATTTTAAGTTTGTAGTTTATTTTCATTCTTTTGATTATCATTATTATTTTATTTTGCATTTTTCCCTATTTATGAAATCTATTTGCAAAAAGCTAATGGTAGCAGTAATGGTTTTAGAGTGTTAGTGTTTTCAAGTATACTTCCCTATTAATTGGTCCACATTGGTGAAATCATTCACCCTCTTTTTGGACTTATCCTACAGATGTACATGATTATGTGTTTTTACCATCATATCTTGTACATTTTAAGTTGTTCCTTATCCTCTTGTTATGTGATTCTTTTGGTAGCTAGGAGATGCAAAGAAGGAACCCTCAAGAAGCTTTAGGTTCATATGGGTGTAATCTTTTCTAGAACCCAGTCCTCATGAATTTATGGTCACAAAAGTGGTTGTTTTAGAAATCAACTTTCTCTGAAGAGATTCACAGAGAAAAAATACGTAACCAATTTATTATGAAAAAAGGCTCACTATCTACTATGCAAACCAGCATGAATTTATCAGGAAATCTGTGTGGATTTAGAACACAGGTCACAGATTGTTGAGTGATGGTGATATAAATGATCATTGCTATTTACTGAATTCTTACTTTATGGTAAGTACCGTGCTAACAGTTTTTCAAGTATTATCTCATTGTATTCAGAACAACCCTGACAATTTGGTATATTATCAATTTTTCCAGTGCTAAAACTGAAGATGAGAAAAACAACATGATTAAGTCATTAAGTTGAATCTGTTCTCATTCAGTATAATTACACTCTTTCCGTTATGCCATGATGATTTTACTTGGGGAGTATTAATGAGCTCTGACAGTTTGGTATATATCCTTCTTCATTACTTTTGCTGTGAACTCCACTGGTTAGAGGGGTTTGTCTTTTGAACATTGCTAGGTTTCTGGTAAAAATAATCTTACTCGGGGCGCCTGGGTGGCTCAGTCATTGGGCGTCTACCTTTGGCTCGGGTCATGGTCCCGGGGTCCTGGGATCGAGCCCCACATCGGGCTCCCTGCTCCGCGGGAGGCCTGCTTCTCCCTCTCCCACTCCCCCTGCTTGTGTTCCCTCTCTCGCTGTCTCTCTCTGTCAAATAAATAAATAAAATCTTTAAAAAAAAAATAATCTTACTCATTAGTTCTATTTTTCCCAAATTTCACTCAGTTCTCTACCTGAGTTCTACTTTTGTTAGGATACTCACCTGAAACTCATTGCAGTATAGTGAGGAGATTATAGCTTTCATTCACTGAAGTTGTACCCTGCTCAATTTGATTGGAATTGAGTTTTCAAAATATTGATCAGCATCATATTTATAAACAAGTCTCTCTTAGTGGGCATTCCTTCTGCCTATGATTACTTATTCCATTAATATTAATCCGTGTAAGTTCCAATTTAAGGAGGTAACATTTTCTGATCTTATTCTCCAGTTTTGAAATTTTCCCCTATTGACAATCTATTGTTGCTTACATATTAATAACCTATTTTCAGTGGTACATGACACAGTTCTTTAATATATTAATATACCATGTATGAAGTGTTTCCAGAAGGTATTCCTTGCCACCACTACCTGTTTTCTTGTAGCTTTAATGTGGTTGAATTAGTTTGAAATTCCCTTTAGGGCAGATTTCAAGGGGTAAAAGGTCACAATAAGGCGACGTGTGGCCTATGTAGTTCTCTAAAGAAGAAAACATGAAGTCAATTATCTTTGTAGTTGTGGTATTGGAAAGATCTGGGGACTTGTGTTGTGCTCATTTCCTCAATGACAGCTCAGGCCTCAGTCCTTAGAACAGTTTTCACCAACTCTAAAAACATACCCCTTGTAATATAAACACAGCTTTGTCCCAGGTTGTCACCTTGATTTGATTTATCTTTCCCGAGGCACAAATCTGACTTCAACTATATTCCATTTGAGATTTGAAATAAATTGAGATTCTGCTTCAGTCATATTACTTCATTTTAGGTTCCACACTTCTCAGTCTAAGTGTCTGTACTCTGTGAGGTAGATGGCTTAGCTGTAGAATAAAATGAATGCCGTAGATTATACTATATTTGAAAGCATCCTGAATTTGGTTTTTGCTTCCAAGTATTTTCTTCCATTTTGTTTTTTTTTCCTTCCATTTTGTTAATGCTAACATTTAGTAACTTTTGTGATGACTTGAAAGCTATTTAGTTTTACAATTCTAATGATTCTGAAGAACTGTTACAAAGATGAAAATGAAATAGAAGCATAATATACCTATGTAGTTTCCTTTAAAATCTTATTTCTTAAAGAAGTTGAAATAATTTATGTTTAATATGTTCTCTTTCAGTATTGTGCTTCTGCTAAGTCAAAAACAGACACTTGAAGAGCTGAAACAGTCAGTCCAGCAGCTGAGATGCACTGAGGCAAAGTTTATAGCACAGAAAGAATTACTAGAGGAAAAAGTACAAGAAAATGATGGGAAAGAGCCACCTCCAGTAGTAAATTATGAAGAAGATGCACGATCAGTTACATCTATGGTAAGCCAAAAAGTAATCAAAAGAGAAACTTAAAAGAGTAGTATCTAGATAATAAGTGAAAACAAAAATTAATTCTTTTGCTGTGACAAATTATTACTCTTGTTAATATGCAGGTCCTATTAAACTTGTCTGTAAATGCAAAGTGGACTTGTCAGTCACCTCAGGTCACCTGGAGAACACTTCAGGAACCAACTGGTTCCTGAGTGAAGAGTCTTTCCTCTGTAGAGTCAGAGGAAAAAGCTCTTCTCTTGCTTTCAAAATTGAATGAAAGACTGCAATATTTTTATTGCTGGGAGACAGCAGGAAGGGAGGGTGTTATTCTTAAGATAGAAGTAAGAAATAAGGAGAAAGCTATTTATTATTATTTTCTTCTTAAGAACAGTAGAATCTTACTTACCTGAGATTGATGATGTGTTTATTGTTTGATATTACAAACGTTTGATTTTGTTTAAAAATAGATTTTTTCTTATGAATATTCTTAAACTATAATAAACACATTCAAATTCACCAACTAGAAATTCAACTTCATTTTATATAGTTTCATTAGCTGTTTAAGAATGCCTAGTATAAATACTTCCCCTTCCCTTTCCCTATCCTTTCTCCTTCCCCCTCCCTTCTTTCCCTTTTTCCTTCCTTCCTTCCATCTGAAGTTGGTGGTTCTCACCAAGACGGCAGTTTTGCCCTCCAGGGGACATCTGGCAATATCTCCAGATATTTTTGGTTGTTACAGTTGGTGGGTACTATAGTAGTATCTGATGGGTAGAGGCCACTGAGCCACTGATGCTTCTAAGCATCCTATAATGCACAGGACAGCCCTTGCCTTCACACTCCCAACAAAAAAGTATTCTACCCAAGATATCAGTAGTGCCAAGGTTAAAAAAGCCCGAGCTCTGTCCTTGGCTTTTTCTGTGAGTAGCTGAACGTAGTCCATAAATAGAACTATCATAGTTAATGATGCTATAGCTGATATTTTAGTCATTTTTAGCTTATGTGGTTCTAAATAGTACAATTTGATTGTTAAACGTATTCAGATGTCTCCATAGGAAAAAAAGGCAGTATTTGAAAATGTGATAAATGTGGAAATGAATATGAAGGATTTAAATTACTCCTTTTCTGTCCTACCAGATAATAAGGATTTTCCTATATGTACCATGGGCCCTTTCTTGATTCTTGATAACTATCTGGTATATGCATTTTTTCAGAGGAATTTTGAAGTTTATTCTTTTACTTGGGTTTTAAAAACCTTAGCTAGTAAATCTTTTGTACCCCGAGTGTAGTTTACAGTACTTCCTTGTCTCCATGTGGGTGTGGAATTGGTTACTTCATAGCTTGATTCAGTGGCAGACAGTTTTAGAACTGGCTGTCTAGTTTATTTTAATTAATTTTGTGTGCAGATCACCCCTATTGTCATTATTATTATGACAAAACAAGATACTCAAGTCACTAGATGACAGCATATCCTCATTTGGTAACTATGGCTAAAAACTAGAATTTGAAAGTTAAAATATAACAGTTCATCAGTTCTTATTTCATTAAAGACTTGTGATCATTTGCAGTTTTATCTTTCATAATCATTGAAGAAAAACTTTTTCAACAAATGAATAAATAATGTTTCAGAGAGACTGTATAGTACAGCTTATGAGAACAGACTGCTTTCGGGCACTTTTAAACTTTCTCTTGTACCCATTATTACATGATGGTGAATAACACTTTGGAAATTTTTAGAGTGATGTCACATACTTCATTTTATTCAATTTATTTTAAATAGTTGAAATGTTAATTATAAATATATCTTATCTATTCATTGAGGCAATGCCTTTAGTCAGTCTTTAAGGAATTTACAATGGAATGCCAAAATATATGTAGTTTAAAGTAATAAAATAGCATTTTATAAATCAATAGGGCATTCCCCAAATTGATGTCAATTAATGAGATTTTACAGTATGTTTTATAAAACAAGTAAAAATACTTGCCATACAGTGTTTTTAAAACTTACAATACTCTCACATATTATCAGTGAAATTTTTGCCTAATTCAGTCTTTTCAATTAATAAGAATATTACTTTTTAATTTATTAAAAATCAGTAAAAATATTAAAGCTTTAAATAGTTTTTTCCCAAATGACTATTTAAGGATTGTTTTATGAATAGCATTACAAGAAAAGCCTGAAATTAACTTAAGTAGTTCCATTGGTATTTCTTTTTTATAAATTCCATCCTTATAAGTGTCTAAAAAATTTCTACAAGGCAAATTTAGTTGAATGTGTCAGAATTGGAAGAACTAAAAATTAAATTATAATATCATTGAAAATCATGAAAACTTGACCTAAATATTATTTAAGAATAAGAGAAACAGTTAACTATTTTCTGTGATCCTAATTAATGGCAGTGTTAATCAGCACTCTCACTCTTCAGTGGTGAATGCTTTTGTGGAAGAGTGCCTTAAGGAACTGTATCACTAAGATGGGCCATAGATTCTTTTTTTTTTTTTAATTTTATTTTATTATGTTCTTATAAAATTTTAAGGTGATTCAAATGTGTAATCAGAGTTAGGGTTGTATAGTCAGGTTCTTAGGTGCATTGATGTTTATTTTGGCTATATAATTCAGTAAGAATGAAAGGCCATCTATTAATTTATAGAAATCTAAAAAAAATTGTGGAGGCAGATAATATAATCATCTCTATCAGGAGAAGTCATCCTCCTAATGTTGTGTTTTTTAAACCTACGTCTAATTTTGGTCAAAATATCAAGGAGAAAATGATGAATATTAAAAATTACACAGTAATTCTCTATTGTCTGGGCCTAAGTATGTTTCATTTATTCATTCAAGAAATATTTATTGAGCACCTACTATGTGTCAAGCACATTTCTAGATGATTGAGATACGTCAGTGAATAAAACTAATAAAAAAAAAATCTCTCAGAGATTACAATCTGTGGTGAGTGGCAGTTAATAAAAAAAGTAGTAAATTATATATTATATTAGAAGATGGTAAATGCCAAGGAATAGAATCAGAGCAGGGTAGAGGGAGGGTTGGGTGTCTAGAGGCTGGGACACAATTTAAATCCAAGTCAGGATAAGCATCATTGGGAAGTTGACATTGGAACAAAGACTGGTAACAAGGAGCTACTAAATCCCTTAATTTCTGGGGAAAGAGCATTTCAGTTAGAGGGTGCACCTGTTGCAAAGGCTATAGTGCAGGAGCATGTTGGACTAATCAAGGTGTGGTTAAGGAAGTCTAAGTAGAGGGGAAGATGAGACTATAGGAAATGAGATTGGAGAAGTATTAGAGAACAGATCTTGGGTCTTTGTGGACCATAATTAAGGATTATGGCTTTTCTCTGAGTAAAGTGGGGAGCCACTGGGTTGGAGAGTAGTAACAGAGGAATGATATGCTTTGACTTTTTATTTAAATGGATTACTGTGGCAACTATGTGGAGAATTACTTAAGGGGAACAAGGATGGAAGAATGAGATTATTGCAATAACCCACATTATGGAAGATTACAGTTTGAGCAAGGATGGTCATAGCAGGGGAAGTAGCAAGAAGTGTTTTGCTTCTGGATATATTTTGAAGGTTGACCACAGGAGATTTCCTATGGATTAAATGTGAGGTATGAGAGAATAGTCAAGGATGATTTTAACATTTTTAGCAGGAGAACTAGAGGAATGAAATTGTTTTGAGTGGAAAGATTATATGTAGAGCAGCTTTGAAAAGAAAGAGCAAGACTTCAGTTTGTCTTTCTAAAAAAGTAAGTCTTTGTCAAAATTTGGTATTTGGGCCACGAGTTCAGGAGTATGATTTGGACTGGAGATAGAAATTTGAGTTGTAGGTATCAGATGGTATTTCAAATCATTTGACTATAGGTGGTCACCAAGTGAGAGAGGATAGAGAGGAAAAGAGAAACAAGGACTGAACTCTGGGGAACTTCAAGTTAGGTGGTCTAGAAGAGGAGGATCTAGTAGGAGACTAAGGTTGCCAGTGAGCTAGTAGAAAATCAAAAGAATTTGGTGTCCTCAAATTGTTCTGAGGAGAAATGAGTTCCAGAATCTGGGACATGCTGGGTTAAGACAAAAGAAACCTTTGTACTGACTGCTGGAATTTTCTAAACTTTTCATATCCAATGCCTAGGAGGGGAAATATCGCATGGAATGCAGTGTCTCTGAAAATATTGATCCAATTCCTTTTCAAAGAGTGTCTTGAAGGGAGCACAGTGCAATGGAACATACTTTGGGAAATACTGAATTAGAAGATGAATCTTTCTTATCAGATTGGGTTGTTTGCAGATTAAATGTGCTGATAATTTTAAAGGCATTTTGAGTTGTTTAAATGTTCTATAAACCCAAGGATTATTTTATTTTATTCTTTAATTCTAGCTCTGCAGGGCAGAAGAACCTGCCTTTTGGAGCTTATTAGGAAGATGCACTCTTTGTTGGCTGTCCTTGGATAATGATGGAAATACCAGAATTTTCTAATCCCTGAGTAACATTGATTTTCCTATTTTTGAAATTAACTAATTAGCATCACTTTCCTTCATGTTTGTTTATAGTTGTCTAGTTGTAAGAAGATAAGTTTTCAATCAGTATCTGTTGAATTGGACTTCCTTTTCACTCCAGAGTAATATAGTTGTTTTACTTTATAATAGCATGTGCTGAGCACAAAGTATAATAATTTTTGTTGAAAGAATCTTTCTTCTATGTCAGATATATCTAGAATTGATGGCTCTTTATAATGAGTTCTTACTTTTTAAATATGGTTAGCTATTCTGTAAGATAATTGCCTTTACTTTGATGTTTCTGAAATTGCACATTTTTAAACTCTTTTGCTAGATTAATGTGCGACATATATTTATCTTTGAAAATCTTATTGAGTAAGTTCTGCTTAGTTGAACAGCACTATCAATAAAATCCTGTTTTGTTATATTTGCAACCAACAAAATATCTGGTTTGTTGACTATTGTCTGTCATTATGATTCAGTAGTAGTCCATTTTATAGAAGTG